ATCATGGCAATGTGTATTTTGCAAACTGCTGCTCTGAAAAGATTTGTTGGTGTTGTGTTGAACCACGTACGTAGATTTTTCAGCCAGGAAATCCTTCGCCTTCTGGTCCTCGTTTTCCTTCTACTTTTACTTGTAGAATTAATTGCAGCAAACCATATCTTTCGCTGTTTCTCATGATGTGACCGAGGTATTCGATTTTGGCTATTTTTGTGAGAGTGTTTGTGTTTCTGTTAGAGTCCACGACTGAACTCCGTACTAACAGTATAGGAAAGATATAACATCGTAGTAACCTGATTTTTATGGGTACTGATAAATCATGGCATTTGAATAGCTTAGCCATTTTTTGAAATGCAGATCTTGCTTTCTCTATCCTACATTTTATTTCTAGGGAATGGTCCCAATTTTCATTGACGTTCGTACCAAGGTAGGTGTATGTTTTTACTCTTTCTATTGGTTGACCATTCACACTGATTCTTTCAATTTGCTGTTCCTTCTTAGAGATCATCATACATTTTGTTTTCTTAATGTTCAGTGAAAGTCCATATCTCTGACTCACTTCTGTGATTCTATTTATTAACTCCTGGAGGACTTCATAACTGTCAGCGAATACCACCGTGTCATCGCGTATCTGATGTTATTGATACATTCTCCGTTAATTCGAATTCGGCTTAACATCCTCTACTGCTTCTTGAAAGATTTCCTCAGAGTATATGTTAAACAGCAAGGGTAATAGTATACATCCCTGTCGGACCCCACGTTTGATTTTGATATCATCGGATTCTCCTGCCTCTGTACGGATAGACGATGTTTGATTCCAGTAAAGATTGCTAATAATTCTTAGATCACAGGTGTTTATTCCAATATTTGTTAATATCTCCATCAGCTTGTCGTGTTTTACTGTATCAATGCTTTATGGTAATCAATGAAGCATGCATAAATATCGCAATTCACATCTCTACATCGTTGAAATAGCACTTGTATGCTAAAGAGAGCCTCTCTCGTACCCACTGCGTTCCGAAAACCAAACTGTGTACGGCTGATTTTTTCTTCGCATAGTCTATATTATCCTTTGATGTATGATTTTTAGAAATAACTTTAAAATGTGGCTCATTAAGCTGATGGTCCGGAAATCATTGCAGGATATATTTCTATACTATGCGATCTTTTGCGACATTTTGTAAAGATGATATGTTTTTCACTATTTAATCTCCCAAAGCTGTTACAGAATTAATATCTGTGACTAACGTAGCAGCATCATCTACGAATATTGTAGTCGTTACATTTTCCCTTGTTGGTATTTTGTGCGAAAATATAGAATATAATATAGGACTCAGAGCACTACCTAGAAGGACTCCAGATCATATAGGATAGATTTTTTATGTTCCTGATTTATAATTAACACGGTAGTAACTAGTAACCTCCTTCTAAATATGATTTTAGTAATACATTGACTCTGAAACGTTCATATTTTTTTTGAAGGGCAACTCTTTATGTTAGACTTCATCAAAAGCCTGACTGGCATGGAGAAAGAGTACGAGCAGTATTTTTTTCCATGAAAGTTTTATTCACTATATCAAAGACTCTATGTACCTGTTCTATTGTTGAATGTTTCTTGCTGAAACAAACTGATGATCCGGGAAACGATTATTATCAGTTATTATTGTCGCTATTAGCTTCATCATTATTATATCATCAATTTTCCATTGAATTGGTACAATTGTGAGTCTTAGTAAGACATGTAAAAATTGTGTAATCATAACTATTCCTTTATCTGGTAACTATTTTAGTATACAATCGTAAATAGTTTCGAAACACAATCAGATTAGGATTTGTTTGCGTGAAATCAATATTTGCTGCCTTTTCTCATTTTATTTAGTATAGTTCCTGTTATGTTATATATGTTATAGCTTGGAGCTTTTTTGGTTTCTTAGCCTATATTTATTAGCACTTTTTACTTTTCTTTTTGATACTGGTTTAATTTTCTTACCTGGCTGTTATTTTGTTGTTAGACTTTCGTAAATAGCTTCATCTCCTTCATCACTGACCGAGGATAAAGATTGAAAAACTTCTTGATGTTTTCCAAACGCTTGATTTGTTGTCGCTTATGAGCCATCTGGGTTTCTAATTGCTAAGATGTGTTTACTGTGTTGTTTTAATTTACTGGTGGCCTTCCAAAGTAAATAATTAGTATCTGCTGTTGATGTTAAATTTGGAAGATAATTTTCAACATACTAGTTTTTGTGCTGTACTTTTTTTAGTTTTGTACCTGTCTTGCGGCTCTATTGTAGTTCATTTTATCTTGCTGCTGTCTTGTGTTTTGTCATATTTTCCTTAGCTGCTTATTCTTCTAGGCGTTTCAGGCAGCTTCTTGGAGAAATCTAGTAAATTTGTTTACTGTCATTTCAAGTTTATCTTATGTTTTTAGGAAAGTATTAAGGTTTATTTTTTATGTATTTCTTTCCTAAACAGATTCCAGTCGGTCTTGTGATTGTGCAGTTTCTCTGGACGTTCCTTTTCAATAAATCTTAAATTTAGCGTCGCTATTACTGAGGTATACTCTAAAACAATTTCAAAATTAGGTAAAGTATTTAGGTATACCCTGAATTCAATAGGATTGTCAGGGCAGACATTTTGTAGTTCGTAAACACTCTATAGTAAGCGGCTATATATTTATTTATTTATTAGCACACAAATTTACTTCTCAATTATCATTTTTGCCGATTACATCTGCTATAAGTCCGAACTAGATAAAGAATACTCGCCTTGTTGCGAAATTTATTATTTAGTACCGCGTGCAGCTTATCAGTGTCGTTGAGGTATACCTGAAAGTCAAGAGAGGAACAGGCGGACATTGTTACCCTTTTCGAAAGTAATATTCTTATTTCAATGCGGCAACGTTGTTAAAACTCGCTGACAAATAGTGAAAATAAATATTAAAATCAGGTAGTCAGAAGTATTACATGAGCGTACTGTCGGGTAACATGGCATCAATACCAACGTGAAGTACATATGTTAATAAATCAGATAAAAGGAGGTGGTTATCTGTGAAAAAAAAAACAAATGATTAAATCGGTTTATGAGGGATTACGTAGAAGACGATATGTTTATAGAGGACTTCGCGGCATTGTATTGTGATTTAACGAAAATATCGGCTCGTACCGTTTTTCGAATAATTCAAGTTAATAAACCACTTCAAAAACCTATTCATAAAAGACATACAGAAATTGTATTGGACGATATTACGAAAAGTATAATCCGAAGAACAGTTCATGGATTTTATTTTAGGAACGAAATGTCCACGTTAAAGGCTATTTAACGAGAAATTAATGCAAACGCAGATGATACTTTAAATAAAATATCTATGCGGGTATTACAAAAAGAGGATTCCGTGAAATGGATTTTCGGTATGTAAAGAGAAAAGACAGGCTTTTAATGGGGACTTTCAACCAGCTTAAAAGCACCTTCGGACAAAGGAAGACCCGTCATTATTACGCACATATTAAGTGATTCAGGTTTCTTACAAGTTGGTTTAAATGCCTTTACCTATATCAAAACGGGCGATTATCATGAGGATATGAATTCGGATGTGTTTGAAAAATGGTTTTCCTCTATACTGACTCTTGTAGAACCTGAATCGGTAATTATAATGGACAATGCACCTTATCACAGCCGTATTATGGAAAAAATACCGACTTCTGCATCTCGAAAGGCAGATATAGTAGATTGGCTAGGAAGCAAAAATATAGAATTTGATGAATCCATGATAAAAGTTCAATTACTTGATGTAGTACGCAAAAATTAGACTTCCTACATCAGATTTGCAGTAGATGAAATAGCACGTGAGCATAACATCACCGTATTAAAAACCCCACCGTATCATTGTGAATTGAATCATATCGAGCTGATATGGGCACATAAAAAAAATTAGGTAGCGCAAAAAAAACATAACCTTCAAATTAAAAGATGTCAAATTATTATTAGAACAAACCATATAACCACTTCCAACTGACAGTCATGCATTAAACGTGCACAGAAAGAAAAAGATAAAATGTGGCACGTAGACACGCGTGTTGATGTTCTTATTGAGCATATTATTATTACTCCAGGAGAAGACAGTAGTGATGGTGAATTAACATCTGGAAGTGGATCAGCATAAACAGATTTATTTTAAATAATAACTAATATAGTTCTAATGAATTTGTTTTTTGTTGCTGTTGATGTTTTACCATTCGGAAAGTACCTGTCCGATCCTTCGTCCTACGAGGTTATAATATTGTAAGTACTTACCTAATAACTTTATTATTATGGCAAGTTTGTTTCTCAAAATTAAGGTTAACATTAGGCTGCCGGGTCTATTATTATTTTCTGTAAAGCAGTTGGTATTTATATTTGAATATGAATTTTATTTTAAAAATATCGATAAGTACATAAGATCATTATTCCAATATCAGTACGTTTAAAGAAATCTAATGTAAAAGGTTTCTTTCGAATTAGTCCTCACAATGCTTTCCCTTATTTTAAAAATGTACACGCCACCATTGAACTACACTCGTCTCTCGTTTCGTGCCCCTCCAGTCTCTATCATTTTAAAACGATACCCTGACAATCCTATTGAATTTGGACTATAGCTTTGTCCAATGCCTTTGATGACAAAGAAATCAAGACAGTCAGGAAGTTTACTGGGGTCAGTGGGCCAATAAGTAGGAATATAACTAGATAAGTGTTTGAGCTGTAGTTCCTGCATCAATTGAAAAGAATTCTATCTCTACTTGGTAAACATAGTCTAGAGCCTTAACTTACATGTTTTGCAATATAGTCAGCACCAGCAAAAAATCTGTTACTTGGTGAATTTAAATAAGTAGTAAATGATTCTTTTTTTGGTAGACAGGGTGGTGGGAGAAATGCTGTAGATATTGCTAATGACAAAGCCAATATTCTATGATAATACTTGCTGCCTGCAGGTTTTTTTTTATAATAATAATTTTAAATAATCTTTTCAGGACTGGCAACATACATTCATATCACGTAATGGCTTAATTTTGAACTGTTTATGCTGTGTTTACTTCGTGGGAATCATAAACACCATATTAATGTGTAAGCTTCCATAACATTCACTAGAAATACACGTATTAATTCTCTTAAATCTTTTAGACCCTACATATAGGACAAGGTACTACCAAGATACTCAAGAAGGTTTATATGGAGGGACGTTGTTTCTTCTAACTTACAATTTGGTTTCGCTGCCATTCTCGTTTATTTCTTCAGTTTTGTCTGCAGTTATAATTTTCCCGTAAGTATGTATGACAAGATTATTTACTTTTATTTAAATAAAGGGTAGACAAAAAATAATCGCGGAAGCTACGAGGGGAACGACGGGTAATTACGAACACTTAAGGAAAATAATTCTTTATTTGAAATATAAAAATGTTGAAAACTCGGAAACCACTACAGAGTGGCTAACAGTAATACAGCTATAATTTTTGTTATTGGATAATCAAAAATAAAAATTTTATTAATAAAAAAACTCAATTAAAAATTTTCACGAAATGTTCGCTGTTACCCGAAATGTCGGGTAATAATAAACATGAGAAGGGTAATGGCGAACAGTATTACCTATTAACAAAAATCACATTTATAGTTGTCCGGTGTGTCCGAGCCGCTGCATAATTTATGCACCCATCCACCACATATAATGCAACGGAACCAAAGTTCGCTTTTCCCGAACTCACCACAAATTAAACAAGATTCTCCTTCATTACAATCGTCGGTATTAATATCGTCATTGTCATCAGATTCATCATCTTTATATGATGTCGAATCTTCCTCTTCGCTTGAAGATTGTAGTACTTTTCTCTTTGCAGTTTTATTTTTCTTTTTTTAAAATTTTTGTTTTTCAATTTCCTTTTCCATTTTTTGTTTCCTTCTAATTTTAAAAACGAATCACATTTAACGTCAAATGCTCGCTTCAATGATGAGAAAAAGCTAACGTCTAGTGGTTGCAGACGATGCGAGGTATGTGGATGTATTGACAGCATAATGGTACCATTTTCTTTGCAAAAATTATAAATTGCAATAGAGCAATGACTGGAGTGATTCTCCAGTCCAATAAAATGGGATCATCTCTTGTAGGTTTATTGGTTTTCGCAAAATGTTGAATCCAAAACAGGAACACTTCTTCGTTCATCCAACCGCTTTTTGAACAGGAGTACAAAGAACCTGGAGGCCCATCCTTTTCTAAAGCAGGATTTCTTCTCAGTCTTGGATAAATGAATAGTGGAGGTGTAAAAGATCCTCTGGCACTTTCTCCACTTGTACAGCTTACCCAAATTGTCATAAAACCTTGAGACTTGATCCTTATTGAAACCTGATTGAATCCTTCACCTGCTTCTTGTTTTTCTTTGTTGAAACTATGTTTTAAGTTTAATTTCTCTGCATAGGCGAAGGCCTCTTTTCGCAACTGAATTGGGGTTAATCCATAAAATATTTTAGATAACGTTAGTAAATGACGACTCATTTCTTCTTCCTGTTCATTTGAAAAGAGAGTGTTTGCACCCAGCCTGCCTTTGTAAAAGCCTCTAGAGACTCTGTTTTGTAATGTTGTAACAGGTATATTAAATTGGCGTGCAGCTTCCCTTAGGCCATAACGTCTTTCTTCAATTGCCTTTAGAGCAGCTTTCATTTGATCATCAGTCCATGAAAATTTGTTGGTACTTCGTTTCCGTTTAAAAGGCATCTGAAAAAGATACAAATTGTTAAATAAGCAAAAGAAAAGCAAAAATGTAAAGAATCTAAGCCAAATTATTAAAAGAGTAAACGCGAACACTTGGCGGGTAATCGCGAACATCTGTTCGTGATTACCCGATTTGGAAATGAATATGAAGAAACGAAACAATCATAATATAAATGCATTTAACTTCTCCGTAATAGGACAATTTTATAGGTTAAATAATAGTAAGTTAACTAACTCTAACAATTTAAATGAAACCATCAAGTGTTTAGGTACATACCTTATTTTCTGAATTGCTAAAATTGTAGTGCAAGCACCAAAAACAAATAAATCGCTGTAAAAAATTCCACAAATACGGGGCAACTGTGTATCTATGCCACCACGTGCAGACTAGTAGGAAGCACGAAATGAAGTTTACAACGGAATGATACAGATGACGTACGCATGTATTCTGTGATGTTCGCAATCACCCGCTGTTCGCTATTATCCGTCGTTCCCCTAAATATTTCCAGTTACAATTTTAAAATGTGTCTGAGAAGATGATCCATCTAACCTGCTATAAATTACGTAAATATATCAAACTATATCATTCTGGGTAAATTTTGAAAGTTTTATGTGGCTTTTAACCCGGTATCTTGTTCTTTTACATCATCACTTTTATAACAATGCAACATCATTTTTATAAGCACCTAAGTCAATTTATACCATATGTAGCTGTTATGTGACAATGATAACTGTAAGCAACAAGTCGTGTTAGTTATATAAAACTGATGGTGACATCCAATATTCAATACAGATATTTGAGAACAACAATTTGACCAGTAGAGCTCTACGCATACGTTGGGGTGTCATATTTTTTATTGCCAAACGTTTGTTAAGTTTTGTTTTGTTTTGTTTGTTATATGTGTCCCTCCTGACACCGATGAATATAATAAAAGACTGGAGAAGGGACTAATCAAACGATTGATGAAGACGAGAATAAAAAACCGCCAAAAAAAAAAACGTAAAAAAGTAGTGTAGTCAGTATAATATAACTGGTCTGAAAGTGAGATAAAAACTATTCTGTTCGAAAATTCACCTACAGGCAATAATACAGTAGAGGTAGCCTTGTCTCTTCAATAGTTTACGATGTTTTTTTCAGTTAATTTATTAAACTATATTATAAAACCAAACGAACTTTATAGTATGTAAAAAGTAGGATAAGTGTCAACACAAACTCTTCCGGAATAACAGAATTTGCCTCCTTTTGATTTTATGGGGGTATTACAGCTGCCAGCAAAAGAAGATTATTGAGCCACCTCTATTTGCTGATGATATGTCTCGAAAAACGTATCAAAAACTGAGACCACTGATTCATTTGCACTAAATACAGATTACTGAAGGTAATCCTACAGGGTAAAGTATTCGGGAAAGCGAGGAATTGGGAGAAGGAGAATATCATGGTTGAAGAACCTGAGGAAATGGTTTTCCACAACAACAACGAATCTATTTAAAGCATCAGTCAATAAAATAATTATAGCCAGAATGATTGCCAATATTCGGAACGAATGGGCACTGAAAGAAGAAGACTGATTCATTTCAATGATAATTTAGAAGTGACTTCAGAAACGAAGTTCCGCTACTTCAAAATTCGTTCCCTTTTAGATTATGTTTCTACAAATTGTATGAGTTCGAAAACCAGTATTCCGTAGATTAGGTTTTGGATGCATACAAAGGTTCATACAATGGCATTTTACGACAATATATACAAAATATGCCCCATGCGAGGTTATAAGTTTTTTGTAAGGGAAGGTGTTTCAGAATATATTGCCCATTTCATTTTTTACCAAGGAGCTTCGACATTTTCTCAATTACAAAGAACCATTAATTAGATTTATGTAAAACATTCATTGATAAGGTTTAAAGTTATTTAAATTGTTTATCCCAAACAACTTTTTTTGCAACAGTATAAGTCAGAAAAATGAAAAGTAAACTTACAGTGATTCTACTAACACCATTAGCAAGACAAAGAGTTATCCTATCAAAGCGACTTTAAAAAGTAAAGGAACTTATTTCCAACATTGCAAAACTTGATTGCAAAAACATTACAATTGATTGCTTATAAACAATTCGGATAACTATTAACAGTATTTAATCTACAGCTTTGAGGTCGGCTCTTGGTGCATTTAGAACTAGTCTCACTAGTAGATTACAAGTTCTAGATAAAGAACCACCCCTAAACATAAGGCGACAACAATTATCACTGAACTACAAAAGACAACAAACTGTATACCTCTTATAGAAAGAATAAAAATCACAAATTTTAACATAGATCAACTTAGTCTATTGCTATACAAATGCAATCAGTCCTCCATGGACAACCCATCTGCTGACCATTGACCTATATATATATATATATATATATATATAATATATATATATATATATATATATATATATATATATATATATATATATATATATATATATATACAGTATTGGAAGATTCAAAACGGAACATACGAATTATTAATACAATTATTAAGATCCCCTGACCTGCAATTACCCAGTGTAAATTTCAATATAACGTCGCGATGTCTTATAATTAATTCATTTGTTCGACTGGATTGCTACTCCTTGGCGATTTCTAGTAGCGTATTCGACAGGTGTACGTCGACACTGTTGTCTATCGTCCACTGATTTTCTGTGTTTTTGTGCAGATAATAACAATGTTTTATTAATAACAATTTTTTTGTGTTCATTAGATATTATTTGAATTGGTTAGTGTATAGTTTAATATATTTATTATATACATATATATATATATATATATATATATATATATATATATATATATATATATTTATATATATATACATATATATATATTTTTATATATATATATATATATATATATATTATATATATATATAATATATATATATTCGGTTTTATAACGTCTTACAACGTTGTCCGACTTCCAAACGCCACTGTATTCTGTCTTGAGTTAGATCTTCGTCCAGATTTCGAGCGCTAATCGCTTTCCTAACTCCCAGGTTCGAGCTCTGTGGTGGTCTTTCTTGTTTCCTCTTCTCTGGGGGTTGCCACATCATCGTTTTTTAGGCAATCTCGTCCCCCATTCGGCTCACATGCCCATACCATATGAGCAGTTTTCTCTTAATATCCTCAACTATAGTGCCCTCTATACCCATTTGTTGTTTTATCACTTTATTCCGTGTTCTGTCGGCTTTTGATAATCTCATCGATCTTTTGATGGCATCCATTTCCGTGGCTTCGACCTTTTTCTTATATTTCTCGGTTATTCTCCTTGTCTCAGCTCCATAAAATAGGCTAGTTTTAACCATTGTCTCATAGATGTTCCATTTTCTTTTCTTTGATATTTGTTTACTCCATAGCACTCCGTTCAAACATGCTATAGCTCTTCGTGCTTGTACAATTCGATGTTCTATTTCTCGTTCGTTTTTTCCACTACGGTCGAAGATGTATTGTGATGTGAATATATCGAAGATATATTCATCACATTGATTTATTTTTTGATTGTCATCGATATCGAGTTGTTCTGCTTCAGCTCCAATTGAGATGTATTTTGTCTTTTCTAAATTGATATTTAATCCCCATTTCTGGTATTCTTCAATTAGTTTTCTAAGCATGTATTCCATGTCGTCTTTGTCATTTGAGATCACCACCTGATCATCTGCAAACTGTAAAGTATATATGTAATCCTGATCGTTCAATTGTATACCCATTCCTTTGACTTTCCTTTTCGATTGTTTCAGAGCTGCAGAGATATAAATCTTAAATAGAGTCGGAGAGATACAATATCTTTGTCTGAGCCCCTTAGTAACTGCAAACTTTTCAGCTAAGAGGTTTCCGAATTTCATTTGGGAGTTTGAACTATAATATAGATCTTTGAGAGCACTAACCAATGTTTGATGTATATTTGATGTGCCCAGGACTTCTTATAGTTTATTTAGTGGGACTGTGTCATATGCCTTCTCAAGATCTACAAAGTCATATGTAACTCTCTATTTGTCACAATTTTCTTTTCTATTATTTGTTTAAGACAGAAGATGTTATCTGCACATTAACGACCTGCTCTAAATCCTCCTTGTTCTTCCTCTTCAGACGATTGATAATCTTCCTCTATCAGGTCCCGTAGTATTCGACCGTATAGTCGACTCATATCCCTCTATAGTTTTTACAATTTCTCCTATCAACTTTTTTTATATATTGGGGTCATATATGCTGTTTTCCATTCATTTGGTGTTGGATGTCCATTAATATATTCGTTAAATATCACCGTGATCATTATGTGTAATTTCTCTGAGCCATTCTTTATTAATTCCGTAGTTACTCCCTCTGGTCCACTTGCTTTCCCATTCTTCACCCCTGCTATAGCTTTTTGAACTATGTTGATATCTATGGTAATATGCTCTCCCAGAATTTCGATTCTTGATGAATTCATATCTTCTTTAAATTCGTCTCTGTTCTCATTTAATAGATGTTTGTAATAATGTGTCCAATCCTTGGGATTTATGGGATTTAGAATCACTTTCTCGTTAGTCGGCTTGTTAACAGAGTTTATAAACTTCCACGCCTCAGTGCATTGTCGTCCTCCAATATAAGATTCTATCTCTCTGCACCTTCTGTCCCATGTCTCATTTTTGGAGGTCATAATTATCTTTCTAGTTTTCTTCTTCATTTCATTGTATCGGTCTTTGTCTGCGTCATCTTTTGTATTCAACCACTTATGGTATAATCTTTTCTTTTCTGTTACCGCATTTTCGACGTCTTCATTCCACCAAAGCTTGTTACTAATTTTATTTTGTTTGATTCCTAAGACCTCCTGTGCTGTTTGATGAATACTTGATATTATGTTCTCATATATGCATTTGGTATTTGTTAGTGTTTCGTCAAGTTTGGAGTCCATTCGAGTCTTATATAGTGTACGGGTGCTCTCATGAATTATACTGGACAGATTGTATTGAGGAAGATCAATTCTTTCTAAAAGCTGTTCGTCTTGGCTTGATGAGACAGTGTCCTTTAGTCTATATGGGAAAACAATTTTTGCCCTGACCATGTGGTAATCTGATCCGCATACTGCTCCTCTCATAGCTCTAATATCTCTAATGAGTATTTGTGAATTTTGTTTAACTATCACGTAATCTATTATAGACTTAAGATTCCTTGTTGGTTGAAACCATGTATATTTGTGTATGTTTTTGTGACAGTAATATCCATTAGTTATTTTTAGTCTATTACTTTCACAGAGATTGATAAGTCTTTCCCGTTATCATTTACGACGTATTCTCCCTAAGGTCCAATTACATTGTTGTTGCGCTTGTTTCCTGTTCTTCCATTAAAATCGCCTAATAAAAATATTTCTCGGTTATTTCTAACTCTAGTAGTAACTTCGTTTAATTTTGCAAAGAATTCGTCTTTTGTGGTTATATTCTCATCCCCTAAGGGGGCATAGATTGCTAGTATTGTTGTTTTTTATGCTGTAGGGTCATATTTACTTAGGATATTTTCATCTATTGCAGTCCAGCTGGTAATTTTCCTTTTAAACTTTTTGTTAATAATTACGGATACTCCTAATTACGGTGTATGTAGTTTCCTATCATTACTGAACCAACGCCCTTCTTCTTTGTTTCAGTGAGGGTCACTATGTTGAGGCCAAGTTGTTTTACTTCTTTGATGATATCTTCAGTTTTACCCCTTATTCCTTGTACATTCCATGTACCTATCATGATGGTCCTTTTTCGTAGCCGTTTTCGTCTTTGTTTAGATCCGTCTATATTTCCGAGGCTTGGTTTGGGATTTTTAGCAGTAGTTTTTTTTCTAGATATTAAGGAGCTCGCTCAATGATCCAACCCCCAACCTGGAGGGCCAGGAAATTTGTCTTAAGGTTTTTATCCTTTAGATTGACTGTCTTTCTGGACTTTAGAGATCAATCTTCCCCTCGATTTTATACAAGCCCTAAAACCATTGGGCTGCCACCTCCGCCTTCCAGACCGTTGTGAAGATCTTCTTCTCCGCCCTGGATGCCATTGTGGGCTTCATCCGTGACCCTGGACAAGAGACCCTTAGCAGGTACTAGTTTCCCGGGTCAGGAAACACCTCGAATCTGCGGAAGGCAGGAATTGATTCAATTTCCCTGATAGGACTATCCAAAAGGAGTTCCTACCCGCCACCTATACCATTGACCTAACACTAAGAAAATTGCCCAAATCAAATACAAACTTCTCTATAATTAAACTTCTTTTTGTAGAGATCCTATTCTATTACCTTAACTACTTACAAACCTTTACTGACGCGTCTAAAACCCCATATGGACATGCTGCTGCTTACTATTCTGATAAAAAAAACTCCTACAATATACATTTACCTGCAAATTGTAGTATACTCACAGGCAAGACCACAGCTATATTAAAAGCCATAGCTTTTTCAAAACAAGTAACACGATGAAGTGCGTTATAATTACATATTCACTTAATGCGTTATTGAAATTGAAGCAAATTTATAAAACAAATCCCATTATACAAGCAATAGAAAATGAATTATTAACACTTCATTTCATGGGAAAGGGCACAGATTTTATTTGTGTACCACCGCACACTGGAATCTGGGGAAATGAAAAAGCAGATCAACTAGCAATTACAAGCCGTATCAACTTAGAAGATACTACAAAAATTACAAAATATCCTTATAGTGACATGAAATATCTGATTAAAGTTCATTGCAATAACATTTGGCAAAATTACTGGGAAGATTCAGCAACCAAATTAAATCCAATATATCCAAAGATGAACAGTTCTTTGAACAACCCCACAAGTAGACGAGATCAAGTAATTATGAACCGTTTAAGAATTGGTAATACAGCTATCACACACAAATTTTTAATCAATAAAGATTCACCACCAATTTGCAACAACTGCTCCACTTCATTGACAGTGAAACAGTTCCTGCTTGGCTGCCCATGTTTCCAAAATCAAAGAAGAATGCGCAGAATTTCAGACGACCTTAAAGCCATGCTGACAGATAAAAATGTAGATGTATTAAATTATTTAAGCGATATAAAATTGTATTATACTGTTTAATGTACATAATCATATTAAAACTATTGTGTCATCCCACTAATAACAATGCGTAATTGATGTGGAATAAATGTTTTAAATAAAAAAAAACTTTTTTGCTATTATCCGAGAAAAATTTATTTTTTCATGTTCATTTCTTCACAAATAAATCAAAAAGTTTTCCTGCAGCAATTAGGGACGAAGCTAAGTTCTTTTTTTTAACATATCAAATAAAACTATTTCTTTTTTAGGTTAATTATGTCATTCGACAATCCTGTGGACTTCGTGTACTTCACTCTGATATTATGGGCTTGTTACATCTTCGCAGAACAGCAAACCATGGCAATTTTAATGATCGTGAAGGATTACATGAAAGCTGCTATATTTAGCATTTATCTGACAGTGGTGTGCATTACTCTGGGTAGTGGGATATTAAGGTAATTATCAGTTACTATAGTTATTAGTGATTAGTATCGAATTAGTTGTTTATTCTGTCATTATTTAAGTCTCTCTATATTCTCAGTCCATATTGTTGGGGATCTTTCCCGTGGTCTTCTCTGGTATGTTGGGTGTATAATCTCATTAAATATCCATAATGATTTAATTGTTGTAGTTGTATTTGTTGTAGTTATAAGGTCTTATTGATTTTTCTGCTTTCTTTTTCGGACGTTTTCTACCTTTTTAATGTAGACATTTCTCATTGCTTTCCAATGCTTCTCTCTATTCTTGGCTAGCTGGTACCAATTTAGTCCTGATGTTCTTTTTAAGCCATCGCATTATCTTTGTTGTGATCTTCCTATCCTTCTTTCTTTCGATAGTCTCCAGCTTTCTTGAATTCTAGCTACATGTCAGTCATATTTTGGGGAACATACTGTTTGTATTATGTCTTTGACTTTTGCCCGTTGCCTAATCAATTTGTTAGACTGATCTTCGGTTCTCTTAAAATTCTATAATTTGTTCTATATATTTGGTCCATGGAATTCGTAATCATCATCATCATCATCAGTGGCGTTACAGCTCTTTATTAGCCAAAGCCTTTTTCAGAACAATCCTCCATTCGCTCCTGTCTCTGGCAACTTTTCTCCATGCTCTAATTCCGATAGACTTCAAATCATTTTCTAGGTTGTCTTGGTACCCAAGGCTCGGTCTTCCTCTTCTTCGTTGTGCGATCGGCCCTCTTCGGTCAAAAACTTTTCTGACTATGGCATCTTCCTCTCGTCTGATTACATGACCTATCCATCTAAGGCGTGCTACCTTAATGAATTTTACAACGTCAGGTTCTCCAAAACTTCTATACAACTCAAAATTGTAACACCTGCGCCACAAACCTTATTCTTTTATTTTTCGCTCTGTATTTTTCGCTCAAAACGTTTGAGCAATTCTTGGTCATTATGTGTTAGTGTCCAAGTTTCTGAACCATATGTTAGCACTGGTCTTATTAGTGTTTTGTATACAGTCAGTTCAGGAATTCGTAATATCCATCTTTATCAGACCATTTCAGTAAAGATGTTTGCTGTATCATATTTATGCATTACCTCATGTAGTACCTCAGTGTATATGATCAATGATCTCAGATACGGGTATCTGCTCACAATGTTAAACTGGTAAATCTTGGTTAAGTGATGATGATTGTTGTTTTATTTACCTTTTATCAAAGTCCTCCTAGTCCTAGTCATCGGCCAACCTGCAGTATCTTACATATTTTTTTGTAGAGGTCATTTTCCTTCGGTACAAGAATTGGATAAATCCACTCCTGACCTGGTGATTTATACTGTACAAACGAGTTGATTGCCCATTTGATTTTGTCCCAGTTTCCCACTTGTTTTACTACACACTAGTTTCACCTAGAATCATAATTTATGATATCCATTCCAGTTTGCTTAGGTGTTTAGCGGTGTCAGTTTTATTTGAGACTCAGAAAATTGCAACCTGAAAAGATATTTCAGAGTCTCTTCAAAATTTAGAGTGTATTCATCTGACTTATTTTGGAGCGGGGAAATACTTATCTAAAGGTCGTTTGAGAGTACTTTATAGAGCCTTGAAATTTTAGTCTATTCTATGTCCTAGCAATGCCTTCTCTATGATTCTCTTTTTGTCCTTCTAGGTTTTTATTTATATTTACTCAATGTCTTGCGATAATCGTCTCACTTACCTGATCTTTTGGAGCAATTTTCGTCTGACTTATGTCGTTTGATTTACAAGAGTGTCATTCCACCAGGGAACTTTATGACCACTTACAAGCACTTAAATTACTAATTGAAAAATGTGTTGAATATAATAAACCACTCACGTTGATTTTCATAGACTTCAAGAAAGCTTTTGATACCGTGGAATTACCGGCAGTATTAGGAGCATTAGAACAAAGCCGAGTAGACTATAGATATACAAATTTGATAAAACATATATACAACAACGCAACAGCATCTGTTAAACTCCATGACTTTACCGATAAATATAGAATTGAGCGAGGAATTAGACAGGGCGACACCATCTCCCCCCAACTATTCACTGCAGCTCTGGAATATGCCTTTAAAAAACTAGATTGGGCTAAAAGGGGAATAAATATTGATGGTGAATACTTAAGCCACTTGCGCTTTGCAGATGATATTGTCATTATAGCCGAGAGTTTAAATGAAGCTCACAAAATGATGGAAGAACTAAAACAGGCAATAGAACAAATAGGCCTGAACATAAACTTTGAAAAAACAAAATACATGACCAATTTAGTTCCAAGTGATGTTATGAGGGTAGATGGGAACGAAGTACATCAGGTCTTTAGCTATATCTATTTAGGGCATGAAATTAGAATAGGAAAAGACAATCAAACTTGTGAGATCCAGCGTCGCATAGGCTTGGGATGGGCAGCATTTGGCAAGATGCGAGATATTCTAAAAGGAACGCTACCGATTTGCTTGAAGAAAAAGGTTTACAACCAATGCATACTGCCAGTAATAACATATGGTTCCGAAACAATAACTTTAACCAAACATTCTGCAAATAAATTGAGAGTAACCCAAAGAAAAATGGAAAGAGCAATGTTGGGAATAACTAGAAGAGATATGGTACCAAATAGGATAGTGAGAGAGAGGACTAAAGTGACAGATGTCATAGAAAAAATTGCACAAGCCAAATGGAGATGGGCTGGACATATAGCACGTTTAAATGATAATAGGTGGACCAAATGACTCATAGAATGGAGACCTAGAGAAGACAAAAGACACCGAGGCAGACCACCAAAAAGATGGATGGACGACTTGAGAAAAACAGTCGGAAATTGGATACAGAAGGCGCAAGATAGAGAACAGTGGAAGAACATGGAGGAGACCTATATCCAACAGTGGATGCAAGAGGTTGAGGAATGATGATGAATGATGATGCTGATCCGAGAACTATCTCCTTCTATGACCTTTATCTTTACTGTCGTTAAGTCCGTGGAACAGATATACCAACCAGTCTTCTGTCTTAAGGTCTTGATTTTGCCTCTTTAGACTGGTTCTGATGGTTTCTTTATTAAGCTCTTTCTCGGGAACGCGGGTGAGGAACATGAGGCGCTTGGGCATATTATTTGAATCAGCTATATTTAAGTTTGCTCCCTCCTACAGGCTCTCCATAGTCTTCACCACTTCAGTAGTCCATTTTTTTGTATACTCATTAACACAGTCCATCCACAGGGTCCCCTTGCTAAACGATGTTTTATGGAATTGTATTGAGATTGAATATGTCCCAACCATCATAACCTACGCTTTCTAATTGTGGCATCAATTGTAGACTTTCCTGTATAGGGACGCCTTTAGAAAAAGGACGTTCGTCTGCCAATCAACCGAGTGTGGAAATTGACTGGATTCAATAATTTTAGTATTTTAAGATTTATTTTCGAATCGAAGAAAGCTGGGCGAAAATTAAAGCAAGCATCCTAGATTCAGCAAAAGAAGCTGTAGGAGAAAGAAAAATTCTTAAAAATAAATATTTCCAAAAGCGGAAAACTCCGTGGCCCTGCGCAGAAGTGAAAGAAAAATGCAAAGAAAAAAAGAAAGCTTACTTAAGATACATGTCTAACAAAACACCACAAGAATACAACAATTACAAAAAGATAAGAAACGAAACAATAGCACTAGTAAGAAAAATTAAAAACGAACACTGGGAACGCTTCTCCAAAGAAATGGAACACGACTTTTACGGTCTACAAAAGGAAATATGGCGTTTCATAAGAGGCCAAAGATCAGAGATGAAAGACTTAATCGAACCGAAACACATAGATAACGACACATAGATTGAATACCTAAAGAAGCTTTATAATGATGAACAGCAAATGATGTTAGAACCAGAAACACCAGAAATCATTACAAACGAGGAAGTCGAGATAACCGTACAAGAAGTAAAACAAACTTTAGAAAACTGAAGAACAGAAAAGCTGCAGGTACAGATGGAATTCCAAATGAATTATTGAAATATGGTGGAGAAGCATTAACAGAACAGCTAACAGCACTAATTAACAAAATCATCAAACATAATAAAATACCTGAAGAGTGGACGAAAAGCGAGCTTATCCTACTATACAAAAAAGGAGATAAAAAACAACCTGAAAACTACAGAGGTATCAACTTATTAAACACCACTTTGAAGCTTACAACCAAAATATTGCAAGGCCAAATAAATCAGAGAATTACCTTAGCGGATGAACAGCAGGGTTTTCGCACAGGAAGATCGTGCACAGATGCAGTATTCATCATAAAACAGATTACCGAGAAAGCACTAGAGTATAACAGACCAGCATTCATATGTCTAATAGACCTGAAGAAAGCGTTCGATAAAGTAAAGCTTAAAGATGTAATTCACCTTCTTTACGATAGAGAAATTCCACTAAATGTTATAAAAACAATAGAGAACATTTACCAGAACAACAATATGGAAGTCAGAATAGATGACCAGCTTACAGATCCAATAGATATGGGCAATGGAATAAGACAAGGAGACTCGCTTAGTCCAACGCTATTCAATCTAATCATGGATGAAATCATCAATACTATTAATAAAGGAAGAGGATACAAAATGGGGAACAAAGAAATCAGAATACTCTGCTATGCAGATGATGCGGCCCTAATTGCATCCAATGAAGACGATCTACAAAGACTAACCCATAGATTCAACACAAGGGCAAAGGACTTTAATATGGTGATCTCTACACAGAAAACTAAAACAATTGTAATCAGTAAAGAACCAATTAGATGTAAACTGGAAATCGACGGTATCAGCATTGAGCAAGTAATGGAGACAAATTACCTAGGAATTACACTGTCTAGCTACGGAGATGTGGAGAAGGAAGTGAAAAATCAAGTACAAAAGGCTAATAAAATAGCAGGTTGTCTTAATAATACGATATGGCGCAATCCCCACATTAATATATATATATATATATATATTATATATATATATATATTATATATATATATATATATATATAGATATATATATATATATATATATATATATATATATATTATATATCCGGTTTTATAGGCGTTACGCCCGTCCGGTAGGGATCTATGGAGGAGTATCACCGAGCCGCAAGCCCTTATCTCTTGCCGTACTGCTCCACCATAGGCCGATCAGATCCCAGCATATCCTAGTCTAAGCCGCAGATTCATCTAGAATTTTAAACTGCTGCGTTAGACTTTTTGTTTTCTGTACACCGAGCTGGGGCTCGATCCCACATCCACTGAACCATTCGACAGTGAAGCGAATGAGAGGCAGCCGCACAGCCCGCTGAGCTATCTGACCGACATCCCCACATTAATACCGACGTGAAATCAAGAATCTACAAAGCAACAATAAGACCAATAATGACATACACTTCAGAGACAAGACCGGATACCTCCAAAACTCAGCAACTACTAGAAACAGCGGAGATGCGTTTACTGAGGAGAATTACAGGAAACACACTGAGGGATCGAATGAGGAGTGAAGAGATCAGAAGAAAATGCAATATACCAGAAATAAATGAGTGGACACTGAACAGAAAAAAGGAATGGAACGAACACATAAACAGAATGGAAGAGACCCGATTAGTCAGAATAGCGAGGGACAAATCACCAAAAGGTAGAAGAAGTATCGGGCGACCACGCAAAAGATGGAGTGATAACCTCCAATAGAGGCATTAATCGACATTGAACAAGCATTTTGCTTATAAAAAAGAAGAAGAAGAAGATTTATTCTTACGATTGTTCTCACTTTTCACTTTTCTTCACTTCTTAACAAAATTATTTTTTAGTAACTTAAAATACCTACACAGTATGAAATATCATTTCTTTCTCAAATGATTATATTAAGACTATTATGTACCCTTTAATGTTAATTTTAATTCAAAGCGCTTATTTTAGGTCAATGAAAGGCTTACCAGACTGGCTGTACTACGCCAGTTACGGAACTCAAACACGCTACGCCGCTGCATATCTAAATCGTAAAGTGTTTACTCACCTAGCCCTCAACCGAGCGCTTCCTTTTGATCTCCAACACAACTGTACTCAAATAAGCTTCGAAACTTCTATCTTAAACGGCGCCAACAATGCTTACTGCAGATACGCCAGTGGACAGGCCTTCCTTACGGAACGATACAGCAGGGATCCCACGGAGGTGATTTTTAGCGGAGTTCTGGAGGAGGATTTCAATATTGGGCTCACCTGTGGTTTTGCGCTGGGAATGATTGTTTTTAATTTGTTTTTGTATTTGATTCCTTTGCCTTCGTTCGTTAAAGCAAAGTTTAGGGAATAAATTAAGGTTTAAATAAAAATATTTATTGTTTTATTGTTGTTTTTTATATGTCTAATTTTTTGAAAACATATTATACTAAATCCCAAAAATCCTATTATTTTTTGATGCCCCATATATTTAAAGCAGTTTTTGAAAGATCTAAAATAAACATAGTTTTTAATAAAAAAGAGCGAATTATCTACTGTTTTAAAGATAAGAGGCTAAGGCGATAGAAAAAGGTCTTATAGGGAAGGAGTAACTTGTTCAACGATATTTTATCAAACCATTTTCCTATCCATAAGGCGACGCCAACGGTTCAAAAAATTGTAAAGCGCTTTGAGAAAATTGAACGAGTATAAGATGATATTTGAACAGGTAGACCAAAAACTGTTATAAATTACAATATAACTTTAGTTTCGTTAAAGATTGTGACGGGTAGCTCTTTTAGATAACAGACTCAGTCTAGAGTAGAAACTTTTGATGGGAGTACGTGTGTATGAAAGACTAAAAACCAAATAGACCACGTGCTCATCGAAAAAGAGGAACAACAATGTATAAAAAAGATAAGAACATATAGAGGACCAGACGCTGACTCAGATCATTACATGGTGGGCATCAAAATTAAGCAACTGATACCAGAAAACAAAAACAAAATAAAAAAAGAAATGTATACATAACCCAATTCGATTAGCAACAAAGAAAGAGCAAGAAATATACGAGGAAACAATGGAAAGAGAACTAAAAAAGATACAAGTAGAAGAGCAAACTGAGAACAAATGGGAAAACATAAAGCAAATAATGAACAAAGCAGCAAAAGAATGTAATAAACAAGAGAATAAAAAGATGAAAGACTGGTTCGACATAGAGTGTCAAAAAAAAATAGAACTAAGAAAATCATTAAAGACGGAAATGATCACGAAAGAAACAATAGAGACAAAGAATAGATATAGGGAGCAAAGACAAAAAGTAAAGAGGGTGCTGAGAGAAAAGAAGAGAAAACACATAGAAAATAAGCTAAAAGAAATAGAAGAGAATTACAGAAATAAAAAAATAAAAAACCTATATCAAGGTGCTAGAAATGAAAAAAAAAGGTTTCCAACAAAAACCCATATTCGTTAAAAACAAAGCAGGAAATAATATAAGCGGGGAAGCAGAAATAGTCGAAAGATGGAAAGAGTATTTTGATGAATTACTAAATGGCAATAATAAGTCAAACCAAAGAGAATGTATGGAAGCAGAAGCAAGAATCGAACACTTAGAAGACATAGAAGATAATTCACCCAGCAAAGAACAAATCGAGGAAATCATAAAAAATCTGAAAAACAACAAATCCCCATGAAGCGATAACATAACAGCAGAGATGATGAAATATGGTGGAAAACTGCTAAATAATTGGATATACAAGATCATAAAAGAGATATGGATAAAAGAACGAATACCAGAAGATTGGAAGGAAGCCATTATTTGCCCATTACACAAAAAAGGAGACAAAACAGAATGCAGTAATTACAGAGGAGTAGCGTTACTAAATACCGTATATAAAATCCTATCAAAATCCATAAAAGATAAGCTAGAAAAAGAAGCTGAAAATATAATAGGCGAATATCAGTGCGGATTTAGACGAGGGAGAAGCACAACGGACCAAGTATTCATAATCAGAGAATTACAAGCAGAAAGCTATGAACACAACTTACCAACGATAGCGCTATTCATCGACTTCCAGCAAGCATACGATAGAATAAAAAGGAAGGAATTAAAAGAGACCCTTGAGGAACTGGGAGTTAGCAGAAAGTTGCGTAACATGATACATCTTACTTTAGAGAATACAGAAAACAGAGTCAAAGTAAACAATCATGCATCGGACAAATTTATAGTAAACGAAGGATTAAGGCAGGGCGATCCTTTGTCATCATTACTCTTCAATTTATGCCTAGAAAAAATAATGCGAGAAGCGAAAATCAATAGAGAAGGACTCCTATATCATAAAAGACACCAAGTTTTGGCATTTGCGGATGATATAGTGTTGCTGGCAAGAGGAAAAAAAGAGCTACAGGAGATAGTACAGAGAATAGTAAAAGCAGCAAAGAAAATGGGACTTTACATAAATGAAACTAAAACAAAATGTATGCAGTGGACAGATGATCAGTTTAGGGATGGACAAAAGTTTAAAGTAGAAGTAGAAGAAAGATCATCATACGAATTCGAAATGGTAGAAAGATTTACATACCTAGGTACAATAATATCACGTAAACCTAACATTAAAGAAGAAATACAAGCTAGAATAATGGCAGGCAATAGAAGTGTACATGCTCTTAGTGGAATGTTGAAAAGCAAGTTTTTATCAAGAAAGGCAAAAATACAGTTATACGAAACAACTAGACAATGACTGAAGGCCAAAAGGACAAAGGAAGGCCAAAAAATAGATGGAATGAGGAGGTAGAAACAGATATGGAAGAAATTGGACTAGACGGTCAGAAAAGAAAAATGAATAACAAGAAGGAATGGAGAAAAGTCACATATCGAGCCAGAGAAGATCTCAGTACATAAAGGAAAGCGAAAATAAAGAAAGAACAACATTTTTAAGCCATGGGCCTCTAAGGCCTTTAGTGCTATTGTATGTATATACGTGTGTATGAAGTGCTAACTAGACAGAGGCGGTGCACATAATTATAAAATTCACATACATTTCCACTAAGAGCTGCACAAATACATGACGTGCGTCATTCTTTAGTTTTTCGTGTATTAAATAAGTTTTCATTTAAACCCTACAAAATGAAGCTGTTGCAAGAACTAAATGACTACGATCGTAGATTACAGTTTAGTGAGGTATTGATGAATAAAATTAGAGAAGAATCTCGTTAACAAAATATGTTTTTCCGACGAAGCAATGTGTACATGTAAATTGCCAATATTTAAGGTATTGGAATAAGGTAAATCCATACCTGATACGTAAACACGATTCTCAAAGACCCAAAAAACTAAGTGTATGGTCGAGTATAGTGGTTACTCAGTTAATTGGGCCGTGTTTTATAGAAGAAAATTTAATCGATAATTATGAAATGGTACTTAGAAATGAAATTGTACTTACCTTAAAAAATATGTTTTGAGCCTATTTTAATAAGATATAATTTCAGAAAGACAAAGTTTCAACTCATTTTGATGTAAATGTTCGGCGTTGTTTAGATCAGACATTTTTCGGGCGATGGATTGGCAGATTAAGTAGTATTGAATGGTCTCCTTATTTACCCGATTTGAATCATAAAGATCTATTCGTTCGTGCAGAATGACCAATAAGGTATGAGCAGTATGGCACCTAGCGCCGTCCTATTGAAACAACATGTGTTTGGTGTCCATATCATTGAATGCAGGCTAAAAGAAGTTAATAATCAACAACTTATAATGACCAAAGACGCTTTCAGTCCAAAATCCACCCCAAACAGTGACTTTTTCGAGATGCAGTGGATCGGTTTCATAGATAAACATTATGAAGGTAGTACAGCTCAACCGTAACCATTGTGAAGAAGCACGATCTGCTCATACAGGTGGTACGCGAATTAAATATAGACCTGGCGCTACTATCTGATCCATACAGGCATCTAACTTGTATGGATCACCTTTTTCTTCGCGTGCCGTATCAGAACTATCCGAGTTTGGCGATTGCCATTGCGAAGGCTTCTCGATCTTCTGCAATATGGAATAATTGTCCTGCATTTGGTATCTGAGTCCATTCACGAATGTTTTTTAACCAAGAAACTTGTTTTCTTCCTACACCTCTACGGCCCTCTATTTTGCCTTTAAGGATCAGTTGTAAAATTTTATATCGACTTCCCCTTACTATATGTCCCAGATAAGACATTTTTCGATGTTTAACAGTCTTTAGCAGTTCTCTGTCTTTGTTGACGCTCCTTAGTACTTCTTCATTAGTTTTTCTTGCTGTCCAAGGTATCTTCAGCATTCGTCTATGAACCCACATTTCCAATGCTTCAATTTTGTTCATGATCGATACTTTTAGCGTCCACACTTCTGCACTATACAAAAGTACAGACCAAACATAACACTTAACCATTCTTTGCCTTAGTTCTAAACTGAGATGGTTATTGCAAAGAAATGACTTCATTTTCATAAAAGTAGTTTTAGTCATTGCTATTCTACGTTTTATTTCTATGTCTGGATCTAGTTGGTCCGTTATCACAGTTCCCAAATATGTCATTTTGTGAACTTTCTCAACTTGGACTCCGTTCAATTGAAGCTTTGCATCGGATGTGGGTCACGACTAAACACTAAAAATTTGGTTTTGTTTGAGTTTATTTTAATGCCCATTTCCTCTCCTACCTCGTGAATACGATCAAGCAGAATTTGAAGACCTTCAATATTATCTGATAGAATTACTGTATCGTCTGCATATCTAATCACATTAAGTAGTTCCCCGTTGATTTTTATTCCATATGGTTGTCTCTCAAGTGCCTTTTTAAATAACTGGTCCGAGTAAACATTGAACAATGTTGGCGACAAAATGCAACCTTGTCTGACTCCTCGTTGTATGGGATTTCATCGGTGTAGTTATCTCCAATTTTTACGATAGCAGTTTGATTCCAGTACAAATTTTTAATGACACGAATATCCTTGTCATCTATTCCGATATTTTTCAGTATTTGCATTAATTTTACATGCTGTACTTTATCGAATGCCTTTTCGAAGTCCACGAAACATGCAAATACATCTTTTCTTTGGTCACGGCATTTTTGTAATAGGATGTTTAGCGCAAAAAGTGCCTCCCTGGTTCCCATAGCATTTCTAAAACCAAATTGGGTATCTTCAAGATCTTCTTCGCATTTGCGTTTAATTCTGTTGTGAAGTATTCTGAGGAAAATTTTAAGAGTGTGGCTCATTACGCTAATTAATCGATATTCTGAGCATTTTCTCGCATTGTGTTTTTTAGTATTGCGATAAAGATGGATTTGAGCCAATCTGCGGGAATCACTCCGTTGTTATATATTGAATTAAAAGTCTTACTACTACTTTTATGTTATCATTCTCTATTAGTTTCAGCAACT